AAATGCACTTAGATGCCACATTGTCACATAAAATGCAATTAATCTTTATTAATTGATGGAAGGCAGCCTGAAGCATTAGGTGTTCACCGTAATGACCATAAAGGATGGCATTAAAGGTGAAGTTTCCTTGCAGAAACCATTTAGCTCCCGCCTGGCTTGTTTAGTTGCTCTGTCTATTTTCACTTATTCTCATTTGTATGCTCTGGAACGCTATCCTGTGTGAGGATCGGTGCATAAAATGCAAGTTGTTGTTGTCTCAGACCTTTCCTTAGTCAAGAGTCCTGTGTCAGGGATAATCTGAGATGTTCTAAACAATGAAAGCTGTAACATGGCTAAGTTACTCAATCTCACTGAATCAATGCACACTGTGACTCTTTGTTCAGCCTTTAGCTTCCTATCAAACCTTTCATCCAAACATTGACCGTCTCTGGAATATCGCTTGCCTTCAACCTCTATGTAACCTTCAAAGCATGAAGTGAATGAAACCAGTGACCAATTTTATCCAGGGGATTATTGGCCAGGACACTGGGTGAAATTCCTTTCTCCTGCCGTAGGATCTTTACCATCCATCTAAACAGGCAGACACGCCCCAGAATAATGTCTCATCCGAAGGACGGCACCTCTGCCAATGTAATACTCCCTTAGCACCGCACTGAAGCATCATCCTAGACTGTGAGCTCATAATTGTGACGTGGAGCTTAAACCCACAACCTTCTGGCTCAGAGGGAAGAGTGATTGCTAACCAACTAAGGAAGCCAGACCCACAGTAAATCAGGAAGAGACCTATCACTCCTCCACTGTTTTACAAGATCACGGCAGCTCTTTCTATTTTGGGGCACTTTTTTTCGCTCTGTTGACTATCTCTCTCTCTGTTCAGGTCCCAATGTACGTCGTGTTTACATGGCACCTTCTTACTAAAACAACTGTCCTGGGCTGTGATGTGCAACCTGGCGGGGAAGGTTAAGTGAAGACGCAGCTCACTGGCTCTGTCGGAATCCAAACCGAAACAAAGCAATTTGGCTGCAATTGCATCAAGGAAAGACACCATCACAGAGCGCCCGATTCTTATCCCACAAGAATAAAGAAAAAAGAAAATAACGCACCAGAAAAAAATAACAATAATTTGGTCGCTCAATCCACAACTGTTTGCGGGACGCTGCTGTGCTGCCTCCTTTCTCCCACAAAATAGACCGTCAATTCATTTCTCAGGATATTCTGTGAAGTGCTTTGAGACTCTCAAAGTCGTGACAAGGCGCTGTATCAAACAAAAGGATTATTATTATTATTAATGATAGAGAGAGAGAGAGACAAGTGGCCACTGATGAGATGATTTTTTTTTATTCAATATGGATGAGATTTGGGGAAATGAATCTAATCAAATAGTTGTAATGCAAAGTGGGTTTTGTTTTGACATCACCAGACCAGACGTAGGTCAGGAAAGGCTGCCGCCTTTTGAATTCTCCGCTGTGTAGAGCATATGTATTTTACTCTGAATCCGTGATCGATGTTGCGATGGTGATCTTGCTGCTGTTACAATGGCTTCTGCTTCATGTTCTTCCTGACGTGTCTAATCATAGTCCCTTCTGCGGGCGTCGCTCAGCTCCTGCGACAGGCACAGGCAAGAGGGGCAGTCAGTGTTTGGGAGGTGGGGAGGGAGGGGTTTCTGCAGAGACAGTGAATAATAATAATAATCCTTGCATTTGGGACAGAGTCTTATCCTCTTGTGGAGACGTCTCAAAGCACCTCACAGAATATACTGTAAAGTGTAGTGACTGTGTGTTTTGGTGGGCCGAAAACGTGGTAGTCAGTTGCACGAAGCAATATGCAGGGAGTAGGGATCCGTAATGAGGCTGATGGGTGAGAGGGAGGGAGCTCTGCAGGTGATCCGATTCTGAGGTATCAGCCTGGCTCAGTTGGTAGCACTCTCGCCCCTCACTCAGGAGGTTGTGTGTTGTTTGAGGTCCACGTCCGGACTTTGAGCTCCCAGTCTGGGCCGAGACTCCGGTGCAGTGATGGAGGTGGACTTTAGAAGGACGTGTTGTTTGCCTGTTCAGGCGGACATTACATTAAAGATCCAGTAGCAAGAGGAGAAACGACATGTGGGACGTTATGCTGGAAGGAATAAGTGGGCATTTCAGAGGAAACTGTGGCCCCGGTGAGGGGGCGGGAGGGGACATTGAAATACCAGAAAGTGTGCAAACAAAGAGAATTGAAGGTGAAAGCAGTGTATGCTATTCCTGTCCATGAACCTTTCCTCATGTACTATCCAGGTATTCTGGAGAGATGTGATATACCCCACCTGTCACCCCCACCCACACCACCCCCCCGCCCGCCCATCCCAATCACCTATTTGGGGGCACTATTCAAGTCTTGGTCAAAGTCGAGCTTTATGGAAAGTTGAGAATTACTGCAGGGAAAGGAAATGTTTGGGATGAAGGAGGCAACGTCAGCAATGGAGGAGATGTGAGAACTCCTGATAAGAAGACTCCTGGAATGATAAGTTCCTCTTTTCATTTGAAGTTACATTTCAGGTTGCTTCAGGTTCGTGTGAACTTTTCCGAGATCCCATCTTCAGACCGGGTATTTGAAACGTTTCTTTCTTCCTTTTGCCCGAACAGCAATGAGTGCCGTTAGTACTTAAAGTTTGGAGGCTTGGCACAATGCACTGGAGTACTATCACTTCACTTCTGGGACTCCAGTTTGAAGTCCTTGGTGATAATGGCCTATTTTCCAGTGAATTCTTGAGATAAACCCAAGCGTTGGTGTGAATCCATTTCACCGTGGAGAAGAGGTTGAAGTGATAAAACTGTGTGACCTGGAAATCTCCCCTTGGAAACGGGGATTGAAGGGAGTGAAGTGAGATCGCTGGTGAAATAACCTCCTAAAAAGTGCGCTTTGTTCCAAGCCGCAAAATAAAGTGTTCGTGAAATGCAGTGCAGTGCCAACCGACTCCCTTTATAGTTCAATCTCCCGTCCGAAGTGGGCACTATTGCTCAAATGTTGGAATAATTGGAATTTTTGCAGCATCAAATTAACACTCAGAACCTCAAAACCCCCTTTTTTTTTGCTGGTGAAGGGGGTTGAGGGGAAGGGGGGTGCGGGGAGATAAATGATTTTTCTGATGGTTTTTAGGCATCTGCTGTGAAGCTGGTTTCAATCTCGCTCTGCGAATGGCTCCATCAGTAACGATCATTGGTCTGGTTAATTACACTGCCTAAACCTCTCTCTGTTACTGTCCTCTCCATCACCTCGCAGGCTCCTGGCAGAGTACCATTGCACAATTGCACTCCGAAACCAATCACACGCAGAATTGCTGGTCAGATAACATCACTCAGCCTAGTTTTTTTTTAAAAAAGCCAGTAGTGCGTCCATTTATTTTCCCATTTTCTCCCCACTGACACCCTCCTCTCTGCTCTCAGTTTGGCCTCCTCTCGCAAGGGTGCGGTTCCACAGGGGTTGAGTTGCCCTCCGCCCTACCTGCGTGGCCATTGTTCAGGTGTGAGCCTTGGCAGATGAGGTCAGTCTCAGAGAAGGCTCTTTAACACAGACATTCCGGAGGATTTATTTTACCCAAAGCAACTTGATGCTGTGATGGTGGACATTAAAGCAGTATTCTGGAGGTATGAGATCGGATGGGCTGAAGGGCCTCCTTCATCTGAACCAATCTTGTGATCTTGTGAACGTTCTACAAAAAAAAAATGATGTCCTAAATGCCTCACAGGATACATTGTAAAGTGCAGTGACTGTGTGCTTTATGGGGTAACGAGGCAGCCAACTTGAACACATCAACGTCACACAAACGGCCAAGAAAAGACCAATTTGCACGGGCAATTTTATTTTGCTGTAAGAAACGTTGGTGAAGTGTTCTGCAGCTGACAATCTCCTCAGGTTGTTTCATCTCAGCAACGTGAAAAAAAATTTCCTTTGGCAATCGCATCAATCGAGTCAAGTCAATCGATCATAAAAACGACTCCATCATTCGCCTCATTTCTTACATCCGTTGAAACATCAAGCAGTTTCAGCTGTTTTAAACACAATGAGCTGTGTCTAAGATAATGAGCCTTATTTTACGGAGTTTAAAAATGGTCAACCCACTTTTGTTTTTAGCTGTGGTTCCCTATCCTTACGCGGAGGAGAATTCACAGCTGGGCAGGTAAGCAGAAAAGGATGGTTGATGCGAGGAGACTGGACTAATTGCTGTGGTGGGCAAGACAATAGGTTTTGGTTCCATGGAACGATGGGATCAGACCGTGAAAGAGATATCTTTAAAGGTAGGAAGGCAAGTGGACAGAGCTGTGAAAAAATCCAGTGGGATCCAAGCTTTTATAAATAGGGGCATAGCACATAAAATCAAAAAGTTGATACTTATAATCTGTATAAATCGTTAGACTGGGGTATAGTGCCCAGTTCTGATCACCCCACGTTAGGAAAAATGTCAGAGGAGCAGAAGAGATTTACTCTCATGATAAAGTTGATGAGTGGTTTGGCCTATGAACGGCGACTGGGCCAGTTTTCACTGGAACAGGGAAGGTTGAGGCGAGACCTGATTAAGGACTTTTAACATGATGAGGGGTGTTGATCGACTCGATGGGGAGATATGATTCCACTGGTTGGTGAGTCTGTGACAAGAGGCCGTCAATTTAAGATAATTAAAAAAGGAGCAAAGTGGGGTGGGGGAGGGGAGAGATTAGAAGGAGTTTTATTTACACACAGAGTCGTTAGGATGCGGAATCTCATGACGGGAGCAGACGGCAAGCCAGAATCCATATTAGCTTTCAAGAGGGAAGTAGATCGAAGTCTAAAAATTAATAAGTTGCAGAAGTGGTGGGGGGGTAAAGTTGGTAGATGGGACTGAAATGATTGCTCTTTGAAAGAGCAGCACAGTAGGTCGAATGGCCTCCTTCTGTGCTGTAAAGTTCTATGGTTCTCTGATCTTCCTCATCCAAACCTCGCCTGCGTCCTTGTGTTCCAATACTCTTTTTCTCTGCTCTCGTTGGCAGGACTATCGCAGGTCACGGACATCCAGACAGACCGCATCGAACAGGACAGCATCAAGTTAACCTGGCAGGACCCCGACTACTCCACCGGCAACAGCACCGAGTACGAGATCAAATTCTATAAAAAGGTGCGGTCCGTTCTCTGAGAGGCACAGAACGTCTGAGAGTTAGGTTCGCTCTGTGCAGCCGTTCCTGGCTGTGGAGTGGATATCCCCTTATTCCGATTAAGAATCATCGGTAAAGCTATAATAAGAACTGGAGATCAATGTTCAAAGAAATGACCATTAAGGAGCATTTCAATACAATAACAACAACAACAAAATTACATTTGTACAGAGCCTTTCACGTTGGGGCAATGTCCCAAGGCACTGGACAGTCAGTGGTTTGGAGTTACAGTTGGAACACAGAAGTCAATGCACCACATTTACACCGTAGATTAGAGATATAGTGGCTGAAGACTTGGTGGGGTTTGGGAGAGCACAGCGTGCCAGTGTTAGCTGAGCAAAGGGGCCAGGCAGAAAAATTGGGGTACAACAATAACAACAAATTATAATTGTATCGCGCTTCTGGAGTCCCGTAGCTCAGTGGTTAGAGCACTCGCCTCGCAAGCGAGAGACCTGGGTTCGATTCCCAGCAGGCCGAAACCGTGGCCAATTTTCCTTATTCCACACCCCTGATAATAATCCCTCAAGAAAAAAAAATAATAATTTGGTCACTCAATCCACGACTGTTTGTGAGACGCTGCTGTGCGCAACTTGGCTGCTGAGTTTCGCCCACAAATAGGCAGTCAGTTCCCTTTATAGTACATCCTGTGAAGCGCTTTGAGATATCTCCAAGACGTGATAAGGCGCTATATCAAATGCAAGGATTGTTTATTATTATACCACATTAGGAGGACGTTGCAAGGTGCTGATTACTACTTGTATCGCTCTGACATGGTATGGGCTTCTCACAATACTCTCCTAAACCCTCTGTTAGATTGTTAGTGGTTACTTCATATCCGTGTCCCCCTAATACCAAACGCGAGCATTAGTCTCGACTGTGAGCTCGAGTTCTCATGGGGTTGGAACTCACAATCTACTGACTCAGAGGTGTGAATGTTACCAAGTAAGATCCCTTTGGAAGCATCTATTTCGATGGCTGAAATGGCTTAGATTATCCAGTGCTTCCTCACAGCTCAGTCCCTGCAGCATGGGGAGATCAGTCTTACAGTCACACTTCAAAGGTAAACTGTTCTTGCATCTTTCTGAATGTAAGTAACAATCAAGAGCACCGCTCTCGACACTTCAGCGCTCTGAGCGATAAAGCGTTCACCTTGTCAACTGCTGCACCACATTCCTGCTGCTGACGCTAGCTGGTAGCTTTTGAAAATTAGATTCCAAATCACTTAATTATCGAACTAGTTACTGAATCACGTCCCCTAGATGCTCACGATTTGTGAAGCGGGTGTAGATGTATTGGCAAAATGTAACCGAAAGCTATAAATCTTGCCGGATTGGAGTTGTAATCAATTAATGTGAATGAGAAATGAATTCCCAGCTCAACTATTCCTTTGGTGGATATAGTGAAATTCTTTTCCCCCTTTTACATAAATCTTGGAACTCTCTCCCACAATCTCTCCACCTTGCCCCCTCCTTCTCCTGTTTTAGATCACAATTGAAGACCTTCCGCTTCGACCGAGCTTACGGTCTCACCTCCTCCCTCCTCCGGCTCGGCATCCGGCTCCGTCACTGTTAGGCCTAGCTTCCTCTTTAGATTCAATCACCACTTTAGACAGTGAGTTCCACACTCTCTCTACCCTCTACCCTCACTACCCTCTAAAATAGAACAAGGGGACACAGGTCGAGAGCTGCAAAGGGTCATATCAGGACAGACACCAGGAAGTTTGTCAGTTCTGAAATGGAACACTTTTCCAGGGAGGGTGATGGTGGTCAGGACACTAGGACTCACTTCAAAACAGCTCAATGCTGTGATGGGGAAGCAGTACAGTGGGTGTTCTGGCAAAGGGTTTTCTTCAACCAAACCAATCTTGTGATTTGGGCACAAAAACCCACTGCCTTCTGACTCAGAAGTGAGATTGTTACCAACTAAGTCAGGCTGGGTATTAGGGGATACAGGGCAAGGATGGGTAATTGGACTTGAGATACAGATCAGCCATGATCTTATAGAATGGCGGAACAGGCTGGAGGATCTGAATGGCCGACTCCTGTTTCTATGACGCTTGATTGCATGCATCCTTTTCTGTTGTCACAGTGACTGAGCTGCTGCTGACGTGTATTTTTCCGGCAGGATGAGAGTGACCAGGCGTATTCGACGGTCAAAACCTCGTCCACAACGGTGACCGTGAATAATCTCAGGCCGGGGACAGTCTACGTGTTTCAGATCCGAGCCTTTCCATTCTCAGACTATGGGAGCTACAGTTCAAGCATTGAGGTGCAAACATTAGGGGAGCGTAAGTAACACTGAAAGGAAACAGCAAGTAGAAACTTCATATAAACCCTTTTTGTTCGATGTCAACATCCAATAGAGCTCCGTTAGTATGTTCTTCATTGTAACGCGCTTTCTCTTACTGCGCAGTTGGGGGGTGGACCCCGGCGTTGCTTCAAAAGCGAACGGCCGGCGGGCAGGAAGCCAAATTGGCCATTGGGTCGCTACCGATGTCACTTCCCGTGTGCTGCTATTTTACCTTCTGGAGCAGTCGCTCACATGCCACTGTGTCAAATACCTCCAAAAAAATCCAAACGCACGTTATTCTGAACCCGTAAGAGGTGCCTGAAATGTCAACCAGTCTTATCCTGTGGAAACATTTTAGCCGTCACATTTAAGATCGGACAGAACAGTGGTAAATTGTTGAATTCAGGCGAACTTTGAAAGCTGTTTCTAAGAGCTGCGGAGAACTGACTTCCAAATGTTGACTGGATTTAATAGTTTAATAATTGTCCCCAGATCTGGATGATCCTAAATTTGAAGACAAAATTGAGCGATGCAGGTTAAGACTAAGTGGAATTTCTAGGTGGGAACCATGTCTGTCATTTTCTCTCAGTAGATTTGTGAATTACATCTCGGAGCTCAGCGCTGCCTATTTGCAGTGGAGTATGACTCCACGCTAAAGTTCAATGTCGGGATCTGCAAACGATTTTACTATTATAATTTAATTAAAAAAAAAAAGTCTTAAGTGGTGTTCATTTTCCTGGTAATTAAATGTTATGCTCAGCGCGCTTGGGTAATTGCAGACAATCGAGGTGAATTAAACGGCGTGCAAAGTGATACTGGAAGCCAACTTGAATTGTGACATGATCTGAAATGTTCTGAAAGGAGAAATCTCCCGAGAATCAAAGAACCAAAGAAATTTACAGCACAGAAGGAGCCCATTCAGCCTATGCTGGGCTCTACCATTTTTGAGCAGTGCTACAGAATATTTATCATCACCTCAACAGGCAGAGAGGACCTCGGTTTAACATCTCATCCAAAGGACGGCACCTCTAACAATGCAGAGCTATCTGTTACATCTCACTTTTCTCCTATTTCCCCTCCACACACACACTTTTTCTTTACAAAAATTAATTTGGACACGCTAAAATTTTTAATCCCCCAAAAATTAAAAGTCAAATGTATTTTAACATTTTAAATGTATTTTATTGACTGTGTTTTTATATATTTACATAATATAGATGTATATGTACGTAACTCCTTTTTGTATATATTTTTGCTTGTTTGTTTGTGAGACACTGCTTCTCCTCCAGCCCCCGCATCGTCTCGTGCGGTGTTCCTCAGGGCTCTGTCCTGGATCCCCTCCTCTTCACCCTCTATATGCTCCCCCTTGGTGACATAATCTGCAGACATGGGGTAAATTTCCACATGTATGCAGATGACACCCAACTCTATCTCTCTGCCTCCACCCTCAATGCCAGGACTACTGGCGTCCTGACCGACTGCCTGTCCCACGTCAAATCCTGGACTAAGGAAAACTTTCTCCAGCTGAATGTCAGCAAGTCCGAGGCCCTCCTGATTGGCTCGCGCCTGCCCCTCCGCAACTCGGGCGCTGGCAGCATCGGCCTCCACGGCTGCAAACTCAACCTCACTAAGCCAGTCAGGGACCTGGGTGTCTTGTTTGACCCTGAACTGTTCTTTCTCCCCCACATCCGCGCCATGATCGGCACTGCCTACCACCACCTCCGCAACATTGCCAGACTCTGCCCCTGCCTCACCCGCACATTTGTTACATCGATTATGGAAATTCCCTCCTCATCGGCCTTCCCAACTCTTCCCTTCACAAGGTGCAGATCATCCAAAACTCTGCAGCTCGTGTACTCTCGCGCACCAGGCTCCGTGACCCCATCACTCCCACCCTCGCCCAACTCCACTGGCTCCCCATCCCCCAGAGGATCGAGTTCAAGGTCCTCGTCCTCACCTTTAAGGCCATCCATGGCCTTGTCCCCTCCTACCTCTCTGACCTACTGACTCCCTACCCACCTGCCCGTTCCCTCCATTGAGCGGGCTCCGGCCTGCTCCATGTCTCCCGCCCGACCCATCCTACCATTGGTGGCCGGGCTTTCAGCCGCTCTGCCTCTACACTCTGGAACTCCATCCCACAGTCCCTTTGCTTCGCTTCCTCCTTCGCCCCCTTCAAGGCCTGTCCACCTTCCCACGTTCCCACCTCTCTGCCTTCCCTCACCCCTACCCCACCCCTCCCCCATGCTCGGGTCCAGACCCCTGATGTCCAGCGCCTTGGGACGTTCTCTCGATGTGAAAGGCGCTCTATAAATGTAATTTTGTTGTTGTTGTTGATGTGAGCAATTGGCTGCCGTGTTTCACCCACAAAATACACAGTCAATCCACTTTACAGTATATTCTGTGAAGCGCTTTTTGAGACGTCTCAATGATATGATAAGACGCTGTATCAAATGCAAGGATTATTATTAATATATTAACGAAATGTTGTTGAAACTTGACTTCAGCACACGCACAAATGAACATGAGTTATGAAATACTTTCTGAACTCATACTGGGAGAATGGGATGTAGATTCATCAATTACAGCCTAACTCTGTCATTACCACCCGTTTGCATATGGCACAGCCCAGAAGCTTTGCAATCTCTCACTGTCATTGTCAGCTTTCCTTTCATCGAAAAGGTTGGAAAACAATTTTTTCTCTCAAAAAAAAAAGCAATCTCTTTACCGCTCGGCAAATCGCAGAGAGGAAAGAGCTGACAAAGGCCCATTGCCTTCCGTCGTGTCCCAAAATACTCTCCTGTTTCACCTCCCACCCAACAGTCGGTCTGCTTCCCTCGTCTTGTTGATCGCTCAGTTTCTCTCCCCACCCATTTCCTCTACTCTGCCGTCGAATGAGACATTGGAACAGTGGTATAGGATATTAGAGAATATTTATACTCCGTACTGTTTGCACTCCACATGAGTCTTCACCCCTCCTATTCTACCCTCTCCTATATCTCTCTATATAGACCTTGGTTGGCCAAAAACAAATGTTTCTTGATTGAATATTTCTCGATTTATGGCCTAAGCCTGTGCTATTTTGTTGTTTCTAGGATTATAATTTGGCAAAACCTGTTGTCAGGTCTAGGGAGGTGCGTGTGGCTAAATAGGCTTGGCTGGGTTGTTTATCGTTTGCCCAGAAAAACACCCAAACCATTCCCAGAAACTGTGGCAAACACCCGATTAAAACATTAGCAATATCACTCCGACGTCAGCCCATTACAAGAGAAATAAATCAACTCATATTTTAATAAGGCTTTCAGCAAGCAATTCACTTTGCAAATGGAGGCTTCAAGGCAAATCAAGACAATGTAAAGCCTTGTTAGCTTTAATCTCCGCAGAGTGTGCAGACAAGCGCATTGTGTGGATTTCTTTGACACCGTGTAAAGGTTAGAGAATAGTTTTTTCAAGTTTCTACAAAGCTTGTTTGAATTTCTTTCTCAAATTAATCGGCTTTGCCGCGAAGGGAATTCAGCGCACATTTTCCTAATCTCCATGCCATCCTTTTCCAGTATTCACACTGCATACTGCTTATGATCCGTGTGAGTCCACACACCTCCTATTCCCTTCTTACTCATGAACGCATCACGTTTGCTCTAAAATACATTTGCTTCAACCACAGCTTCCGGCAGCGAGTTCCACCATCTCGCCACCCTCTGCGTGAAGAGGTTCCTCCTAAACTCCCTGTTAAATCTGCTGTTGGTTAGCTTATGTTTATGTCGTCCCAGTTGGCCTGCAAGTCGACCATTTTTTAGTACAGGAAGCTGCCCGGCTTTCGTCATGCATTAGCAGTATGTGTGAAAATGCGAGCGATGAATGTAAAAGGTTATGACCCTGGTTGGAATTTTTTTGATTTCCCCCCCATCCCCTTCCCCTGCACACTTACCATGTGGAGTCGTGTAGCGTAGTGGTTAGAGCACTCACCTCGCAAGCGAAAGGACCCGGGTTCGATTCCCCAGCAGGACGAAATGTAAGGCAAATTTCCTCACTCCGCACACCTCTGTTTGCCTCGCAGTAAGTAGGAACCTGGTTGTTAGTTGATTGGCGGATCGGGGTTTCCGGGGTTAATAATCCCTTCAAAAAAAAATGTGGTCACTCAATCCATGACAGTTTGTGGGACGCTGCTGTGTGCAATTGGCTGCCGTGTTTCGCCCACAAAATATACAGTCAATTCACCATACAGTATATTCTGTGAAGCGCTTTGAGATGCCTCAATAATAATAATCCTTGCATTTGATACAGCGACTTAACATGACAAGTTCCTGTATCAAATGCAAGGGTTATTATTATTACTGCGTTCCAACAGGGCTCCACAGAGGCGAGCTTGCAATTCTTGTTGAATATTGCCAGAGTTCGGAAGAGCCAGGCGCTATTAAAATCTGCTTTATGAAGCAATCTGCTGAAAGAATAAAAGATCTGGCACTTGTAGAATTTATAAATTGTAACAGGACATTAAATACCTGAAGTTTCAGTTGATTTTAACTTTGGAATTAGCTCATTAAAACATTGACTGTCGCTGCCAAAGTGTTCAAATAAATTTTCACAGAGCATTACCATTACAGATGACACATTTTTATTTTAGTCATTAATATAAAGGAGAACTAACGTCCAAACAGAGTTCCTATTAATGTCAGACCATCTCTGAGTCTTTCACAAGTGATCGCCATCGAGTGTAGTGACTGTCTATGTCTAGGTATATCGGGATGTCCTATCTATCTGTCTGTTCGGGTGAACGGTAAAGATCCCATGGCACAATTCAAAAAAGGAAGGGTGTTTCTCCCGGTGTCCCGCGCAGAGTTCCGTTGTGGGTTTCAAGAGGGAGGTACGCCAACAACAACTTGCATTTATGTAGCACCCTTCACGCGGGGCAGCATCCCAGAGCGCTTTATGAAGGTAGAGTGTATATGAACGTCAAAGGCTTGAAGGAGAATTGGGGATAGGGCAAGGCAGTGGGATTGAATGGAATGAGAGCTTGCTCTGAGAGCCAGTGCAAACTCAATGGGCTAAATGACCTCCATCTGCGCTATAATCTCCTTTGATTCCGTGATAGCCGGCAAGCAATCCCCCCAGATCAAAATTCCTGTCAAGGCTAATCACAAATTGGATTTCCTACAAATACTGGGTCATTAACCTTGACAATTCCTTATAAAACATTTTTGAGGCATTCTGACGGAACAGTTGGTATAGACACAGCAAGCAATTTGACTTCCATTGTAGACTCTGCAATCTGTGTCAGGACCAGTTTAAAGCCTGTGGGTGGATGTGTAACTTTCTATTTTTTGTTTTTCCAGTTGCCATGGTTTCCAGTGAGCAGAACCCGGTGATGATCATCGCTGTGGTCTCTGTGGCGGGCCTGATTGTGCTTGTGTCTATGGTCTTCGGATTCATCATATGGAGGAGGTAATTAATGCCCTGACCTGTTAGACAGAGCTGTGAATTGGGATCTGAAATTGCCCTCTACACCTCTGAACCAGTGTCCTCTTGTTCTGCTGTTGGGGTATAGCACCAGACTCATTTGTGATCTTTGTGGTCCAACTACAATCAATTTAAGAGCTAATTGCAAATGGCCGAGATTGCATTTTGTTAAGTTTTTCTTTTAATAATAAATGATTACTTTTGTTAATGGTCGAAGCTGTCCATGCAGTGACCACCCTCTAATCCTTAACTCCATCATCTTCATAACCACACAACAAAAAAGTTGTTGTTAACCATTGGCTTGAGTTAAAGCCCAGTCTGTCTAGAGATCAGTATTGTAATGCTTTAGGTCCATTAGGTAGACTGTTACCATGTATTTAATGCTGCTTCTGTTCTGTTTCAGACACTGTGGCTATAGTAAGGCAAGTCAAGATGGTGATGAGGAGCTGTACTTTCACTGTAAGTAGGATCTCTACTGAAAATCAGATCAGACGTTAAACCGTGGTCCTGTTTGCCTGTCCAGGTGGATGTTAAGAGATCCCACAGCACTGTTGAAAAAGAGAAGGGAGTTTCTTCTCCCAGTTTCCTGGCCAACAATCCTCCAGATAAAATCGGTCATTTCACTTTATGGCTCCTTGCGATAAATTACTGTGTGCAAAGTAACAATAGGAACAATCCTTAACAGCAAATGCAAAGTGATTATCGTATTCGCCTGCAAATACCCAGTCACTGTGTGTTACCACAATTCCCTGTAAAGTATTTTGTTGTTATTCGTGCAAAGATTATTGTTATTTATTATTATTTGCAGAGAGACAGAAAAGCTAAATTTCACCATCACTAGAACTCTACTGTTGCTTTAATAACATGCTTCCTGGGCAGCGATAGTTGATGTGGTTTTGAATGTAATTATAGCCTTTGAAGGCTGCTATCATGGTGTGAAGCTATGCAGTCAAACTCTCCAGAGACAACAGAATTGACAACTGCATAGCCACCATAATACTAATCCTTACCTTTGATATAGAACCTTTCACATCAGACGAACATCTCAAAACTCTTCACAGGATAAACCCAAGATAGATCAGTGTCCTGGCCAAAAATCCCCCCCAAAAAAATTGGTCACTCACTTCATGGCTGTTTGTCGGACATTGATGTACGTAAATTGGCTGCCATGTTCACCTATAAAATACACAGTCAAGCCACTTTACAGAGAACCCTGTGGAGCACATCTTAACAATGTGCTAAGGCATTATATCAAATGCAAATATTAAACTATAAGTACAGTGACTGTGTATTTGTGGGTGAACACAGGGCCAGTTTGCACACAGCAGTAACCCTGTGAAGAGAATGGCGGATTTTATCTGTGGGATTGTTGGCCAGGACACCAGGAGAAACTCCCTTCTCTTTTCGAATGGTGACTTGGGATCTATCTAACCACCTGAACAATCCCGAGGTGGGTGAGGGGGTCAGTTTAACTTTTCACCCAAAAGACAGCACCTTCCATAATACAGCTTCCCCTGGTCCAGCAATACATTGGATTGTCAGCCTAGACTATATGAGGTCAAAGTCCTGATGGTGGCCTTGAACTCACGAGACGAGACTGCTACAAGCTGAGCCGGGCAAAGGTTCTTGCAAAAGCGATGCTACAAAGGGCATTGGCACTGGTACTATTTGTTATTCCCCCCCCATTCGCCCCCACTTACAAACCCCGATCCTGGGGTTTACAGAATCTGGTGTTAAAATTTGTGGTATTTCTTTTATGTTCTTCAAATTAACACCAGCGTGAATTATCCCCACCATTACTGGTGATTAATGTGATCAACATTCTTGGCTTCACACACAACGCGCTGTGCTACACCAACTGGCCCCCTCTTCCCCTCCCCCGAGCGCTCTGATTTCCAAACCGATCCGTCACCATCTTGGATTTCCGTCCTCGAAGAGGAAAGTCGGAGTTTCTCATTTCTCGGCCCTGAGTGAGTGTGGTGGGGTTTTACTTCCAGTCGTGTTACTCTGTGGGTTAGATCTTTAAGTGAGCGACAAAATACACTCTCTCCCTGGCCCACAAAATGCTGCTTCGTCATCAAGGTTGAGAACTTGAGGGCAGAGTGGCTGGACACTGCACTCCCCACCCCCCTCTCCACTGGTCGGTCAGTGTATCACAGTGGGTTTAGTGTTTTAACAGAGACATTGTTAAGGAGTGCTAATTTAGGGAGCCACTAATTTTATAGTCTTTATTCCACCATTCCCACCCTGGCCATTGTTTGATCTCTATCCAAAGTTATCACTAGCCTCAGTGAAAAGCCAAGGCTGAACACTGTTAAATCCCTTTATCTTGTGATCTGAAACACTGCACTGAATTCATTCAGACAGACTCTCCACCTAGACACTGAATGGGGATTAGTGATACTTTTTTATCAGCTGCACTCTTGACCAGGCAGGTAATCTGGTATCAAAGACTACAAGATATCAGGAATGAGGAAACACCTGTCAAACCTTGGTTTATTATCTCGGGTCATCTGCAGGTGTTGTCTCTCTCTTGATTAATCTCCAGCAGGTGCCCTTTTGGGTGTTTAACAAAGAGAGTGTCACCACTGCAATTCCTGCCGACTGCATTCTGGTGCAGAGCTGCACCAGAGATATAGCTTTGCCTGTAAGAAGAGAAAGAAAGTCCGAGAGCGAGCACTAATATCAACCACTGAGAAATAAGCGGTCAATGTAGGTCTGTCTTTAAGGTGGTGATAATATTGCGCGGGGGTTAAAGGTCTGCCTATTCCGAGCGACTGAACCACAAAGGAGGGAAAACGCAAAACAATTTGGATTTCTCTTAGTCCACCTTCGTACAACGTCGCGCCTGTTGCCCTGACCTACGCACACCTGCCCCGACGTGAGAGAGGATGAGGTCCAGGAATCCGGGTGCTGGATTTTATAGAATCATAGCATATTGCAGCACAGAACAAGGTCATTCGGCCTCTTTGGAAGAGCTACCCAATCAGTCCCAATCCCTTGCTCTTTCCCCACATCCTTGCAAATGTGTCCTCTTCAAGTACCTCGCCAATTCCCTTTTGAAAGTTGTTGTTGATTTAAAATAATCGTTTTTATCATTTGGAATGCTGATGGTACACACTAAATTGTGCTCCGTGTTAAAATATTACATTTTCTGAAGGAAAATTCTTTCTGAGGGTATGAATTCAGTCAAACACGACAGAAATATCCAGGGATGAGAGTAAATGCAAAGTTAAGAATTCAGCGTGAGGCAAACACTAGGGATGGTTATGATAAGTGAGTCAGTGTACGGTTTTATGCTGCATTTATTGATCAGCCCATAAACAGTGTAGCTTGGAATTCCTAACAAAATGCCTGTGAGCAGCACTTGACGTTCCCAGGCTAATGGTGGAGCAAAAGAGGTTATAAACGATGGTTTTACAAGTAATCCCAGTGTATGCTCCGAGAGAGCTCGCCAGCCCATTTGACATCAATTGAGTTGAAAGGATTTGCTTAGCATTGATCACTGCCTAATGAACACTTCTGTGAAAGTGACAGTTTTTACATCTTTATCTTGCCTTTCCTCTCGTGTTTCTCTCTGAATCTCTCTAGCAACTGTGCCCCTAACCTTTGATGTCTCTTTATCCTGCTGTCTTGTGCATTTTTTTTTCTCTGCGTGTGCCTTTCTCTCTCGACCTCTCCCTGTGTCATTCTATCTCTCCTTGAGCATTCTAACTCTTTGACTCTTCCTTCCTTCCTTCCTTTATTCTCTTTCTTTCTTTCTTTCTTTCTTTCTTTCTTTCTTTCTTTCTTTCTTTCTTTCTTTCTTTCTTTCTTTCTTTCTTTCTTTCTTTCTCTCTTCCTTCCTTCCTTCCTTCCTTCCTTCATTCATTCATTCATTCATTCATTCATTCATTCATTCATTCATTCATTCATTCATTCATTCATTTATTTATTTATTTATTTATTTTTTTTATTTATTTATTTTTTTTTTTTTTTTTTTTTTTTTTCTTTCTTTCTTTCTTTCTTTCTTTCTTTCTTTCTTTCTTTCTTTCTTTCTTTCTTCTTTCTCTTCTCTCTCTCTCTCTCTCTCTCTCTCTCTCTCTCTCTCTCTCTCTCTCTCTCTCTCCCTCCCTGAAGAAAGAAAAAAAGATAGAGAACAAGATAGAGAAAGAGAGCGAGAATTCCCAAGAAAGAGATTATAAACAGGAGATCAAATTTTACTCTGGGCTTGTTGGCTAGGATACTGGGAGAAAGTCCCTTCTCTTTTCCAATAGCTCCATGGGATCTTTAATGTCTACGTGAACAGGCACAGATGGGACCTTGGTTTAACAACTCCTCCCAAGGACGGCAGCTGTGTCTAGGTGTGTGTTGACGATGGCGACTTGCCTGGGCCTCGGTATGAACGTCCTTTTTGTTTCAGTCAAGATCCCGAGCCGAAGAACCTACATCGATCCAGAGACCTGTGAGGATCCTGTCCAAGCCGTGCACCTATTTGCCAAAGAACTGGACCTTTCCTGCATCAAAATAGAGCGAGTTATTGGAGGAGGTAATGGACTGGAGTTGAAGTGTATAAATGCACATTTCACAACCCACCTCTTTGACTGTCATTTTTCAGTCATCTTTCCCCTCCCCACCATCCTTGGCTCCCCTTCCCCAGTTCATATGCCCAGGCAGCAGTGTCAAGCGCTTTGAGATGTCCCAACATGCAAATGCAGTAATAATAAATTCTAAGTTGTTGTTGGTGTAAAGGTGGCTTGGGAGGTGACTATCGGCTGATTACAGGGATGGTGACTGAGCGCAAAGCCTGCAGGGAACAATATTTTATTTTAACCTTCCTCTCCGCTCCAGCTGAAGCAGTAATGGCTTGCTCTTTACCACCCGCAGAAACAAACTCGCAGACCCGATTGTCTGCTTTACTGGGTTCTCTGCAGCTCTCCGTACTATTCAGGCATAGACTGGCACTGGAGAACGGTTGTCGGTCTGAACCTCAGAGCCACTTTTTTTTTATATAGAAAAGCAATTGGGCGGAAGGGGAGAATGAACATTTTGTGTGATGTTCAGCTCCACACCTGCCTCCACAATGTCTGGCTATTATGTTGCACCTCAACACCTGTACAGGCTTCATCCATCGAGCTCCCCATCTGTGGCTTGTTTTCATGTTACGTACGTCATAGTTACACTGGGGAGAACAGATGTCTCCCTCTCCCCCCACCCACCCCCAACTCCCAAGGCTGGTGTCCCGTTTGATATCTGTGTCACTGTCTCTTGCAGGGGAGTTTGGTGAAGTCTGCAGAGGTTGTCTCAAGCTGCCGAGCAAGCGGGAGCTCCTGGTGGCCATCAAAACACTGAAGGTCGGCTGCTCGGACAAACAGAAGCGTGTCTTCCTGTCAGAAGCCAGCGTCATGGGACAGTTCGACCATTCAAATGTCATCCGCCTGGAAGGGGTTCTCATAAGAGGTGAGTGTTTCAGCACAATGATACATCGTGTGTGAACCCCAAGCCAACTCACATGCAATACACATGTGCCAACCACTGTGCAGATTCACTGTGTAAACTCAGGCGTGTAAACCGCATGTGTAAATAGGGTAAACTCTGAAACTGACAGAAGGCGTGTGAATCGTTCTGCCTTTGGACGGTTCCACGTCTGACTATCTCTCCTTCGCTCCCAAAGAAGAGAAGCCAAGCTGGCTGAGTTGTCATCAGCAGTCCCCTAGAGTACTGTGGTTCTGCCTGGCTCAGGAACTGGACTAGCAAGACCACAACAGAGATTTGACATTCCACGGCCAAGACACCTTGGAGCCAGTTCAGAGAAAGCACCTTATCATGCCCGCAGTCCAGTCACTCCACATTAGAGTAAATCCTGCAAAGCGATTCGAAACATCCCTTTTACATGACAGGCGCTATATAAATTCAAACTTGTACTCTGTTGTCATTTGTGTGCCTCTGTGTGTTGTGACTTTATTAACACAATGATTCGCTGTTTACAGGTAAACCCATGATGATTGTCATTGAATACATGGCAAACGGAGTGCTGGACTCGTTCTTAAGGGTAAGCTTTTGTCCACGTGAGAGTAAATTTGAGAGTAAATTTGGACTCGATCGTGTTTAAATAAGCCCACTTAGTCGATTTCCATCGCTAAGGTACTTCAGCAGAGACATCAAAGTTTGAACATAACGAAACAATAGATTTAGACCTTAAAGTTCGGCTGCTCCACAAGTGTGTAAATTACGCAAACACTTCGCAAATCAGCCCCAACATCTGGGCTACTCAGTCGGATGTCTCATTCCATTTGGCCTAGTCCTGGTTTAGGGTGGGATGGTGTGGGGGTGGGATGTGGGCCAGTCCTGAGTGAGGGGCAGGTCCTGACTGAACAAGCTGGACGAGCTGAATGGCCTCCACCAGTGACCAGCTCACTGGGGATTCACTGCCTAATTCCCACATGGCCAGAGTTCCCACATCGCACGCTCTCATTATCAACACAGCAACTCTCTGGTGACCATTTATTGTCAGACACGGTTTAATTCAAATCACATCATAGACCCATGGGATGAACGTGACTGTTATCAGCTTTGTTCAATGATGGCTCCCTGCCTCTCCCTTCGGGAGAGTCTTTATGCCTTCAGAAGGAAGAGGGAACCCAGTCTGACACCTAGACTGAACTCGTAGTTTAAGCAAGACGACTGATAAATTATTAATCTTGTGGTTTCAAATATTTATCCGCTTGAAACCTCATTGACTCATCACATCTGGGACTTCGATGGTTCCCTGAACTGTCTGGAGATTGTGTCGAGCAGATTCTGACCCCATTGCTTCTGCGTTGACTGAAGCATCAATTTAGTTCAGCCTCTTGTACTGTTTCAGGCCTTTGCACTTTGAAGTCTTAACTTGACACTCTCTTCTGTTGCCTGAGCTCCTTCAATGCTCCCTTCATTTTATTTAAAAATACCTTTCATGCCATTTGATTAAATGATTTAATTTGAATTTATACAGTGCCTTTAAATAAAATAAAACATCTTAAAGCTCTTTACAAAGTATAATTGATTAGAAATGTCAAGGTAGAAAAAATCCCATAGACAACAATGGGACTAGCAGCCAATTAGTATGAATTAAGGATAATTTTGGGCGAGGAAGGGAATATCTGTCTATCTGTCTTTAAGTCAGTAGACCTTAAAACCTACCTCTTGTTTATGGTCACTTTCCCTTTCTCCCTTGCTTGGCACCCAACCCTACCACTTGAAATGCTCCGAGACGTTATCCAGTGTGAAGGGCTGGGTAAATGCAAGCTGTTGCTGAATATATGGCAGGTTAAACGGGGAGAAGGCCTCCAGTATCCCAAGTCCAATGGCTCCCTTGACTTCTCTGGAGCTTCATCTTGCCAAATAACTGACCATCACAGAGCAGAACAAGGCAAGTTGGACCCTGAGCTGGGCTGAATTAGTTAATCCCAGTTAGAGATGCTATGTTTGGCCTCAGGGCAACCAAGTTATCAAATGAAGGCCAGCTGGTGCTCCCACCGCTGCTCACTGTGGTGTATCTCAGAAATACTGCAAATTAGAGGCTTGTGCAAATAATTGGTCAAGTTATTATGGAAACAATTGGCCTGGGAGGCTATTTGTATGAACCGGTAAGGCCATTTGGTTTTCAAATGTAAAGTCACAGAGAATCTTCAAAGAATTAAGTTGGTTTCCTGCATTTCTTAAAAGGGTTTCTGAATTAAGACTGGATTGAAGAATCATACACCATTCCACACAGTGTGTTGCTTGGTTTCTTGCTCCTTCCAGGAGAGCACACATTGGGCAGTTAGAGTAAGAGATGTGTGGGTGGTTGTTCTGAAGGCGATGAAGTAGAAGCAAATTCAATAGACCTATACGCTTTTTAATCTTTCTTACCATCCGTGTTATCCATGTGTCTTTGATGTTCATTTTTAACAGTCTTACAGGCTAAGATTGGGTGAAATTTCAGACCTCAATCTGTCACACAAAGCCATGCCTGATCCCTGTCCATGTCTGCCACCTTTTCTCTGTAGAAACACGAGGGCCAGTTCACAGTTGTGCAGCTGATCGAGATGCTGTGCGGAATAGCCTCCGGCATGAAGTATCTCTCGGAGATGGGCTACGTGCACAAAACCTTGGCCGCCCACAAAATCCTGGTCAACAGCAACCTGGTGTGCAAAGTGGCCGGCTTCAGGCAATCCCAGGACGAAAAAGTGGACCTGGTGTTCACCACTATGGTGAGCAGAGCAACACCCAACAGCGCTGATTCTATGTTGCACAGTCTATGTTAAGTCTGTGTCTCAGTCTGGCACAGTTGACTAGTTTCTTTTTGGTCAGCCGGGTGTCTGACACATGCAGAAACCCATCACCGTGCTCAAGAGTATCCAAACCGAGCTGAGAATTCCACGCATCCCACCTACACATAGGAATCCCAGAGATAGATTACTGGAATGGAATGCGCGCACTCTCTCTCTCCCTGGAGGGACGCATCCTGCTCACCCAATTCCGGAAAGTATTCGGCATAATACTAATACTCAGTCGGTTAGCGCTCTCACCCCGAGTCAGAAGATTAGAGGTTCAAGCTCCAACTTGGGGCTTTGAACTCGCGTGGTCTCGGCTGACACCTCAATGCAGCGCCGAAGGGAGCACTATGTTGTTGGAGGTGCCGCTCTTTGGGTCAAAGCAATGAACCGAGGGTCTCTATGCCTGTTCGGGTAGATGTTAAATACCCCTTGGCACTACTTGACAAAAAAGCATGGAATTTCTCCCACTGTCCTGGCCAACAATCCCCCAGATAAAGTTGGTCATTCACTTCCTAGCTGTTTGTAGGACACTCCTGTGTGTAAATTGCCTGTCGGGCTTGCCTATAAAATACACAGTCACTGCACTTAACAATAAATCCTGTGAAGTACTTTGAGCCATCTTCCTGATGTGAAAGGCGCTATGTCAAATTCAAGAATTAATTTATTCATTCTATATAACTCTTCCACCTCGCTGTCTTTCCCTGGAAAACACTCAACCACCCTGTTTATTAACTATCATCAGTAACGTGAGATAATTAGCACTGATTAATGCAAATGGTGACAAGAGTGGTGCAATGTAAATATTGTGCTACTTTTCTAAGGTACTTTACGCTGTACATTATTAGCAAGGAATGTACGTCTATTAATTTGACGCTTCAATTAAAAGTTGTGAATCCTCAAGTCACTTGTTCCTTGTTGACAACAGAGAAGTATTGAAATGCAATCTGTACACAGGTGGTGGGTTTGAGTTTGTCCCAGTCCAATTCCAAAACTAAGCTCAGTGTTGTTTGTGAAATGTTGTTGGCCTGGATTAATTGTTATCCTTGATAATAACGCTAGCCTTTCATATAGCACCTTATCACATGGTTGAGGTGTCTCAAAGTGCTTAATTCCCTGTAATGCACAGGGATTTTGCAGGTGACCACCTCTTCTATTTGCCTGCATTAATAAATGCTAAATTAATAATAATAATAATAATTCTTGCATTTGGTTTAGCACCTTATCACATCGGAAGGACATTCACGGAATTAATGTGAAATGGAATGACTATGTATTTGTAGGCAAACGGAACAGCACATTTGTCTCACAAACAGCCATGAAATATATTTAAACAATAAGCTTAAATAAATAAGCTTCGACGACTGAATCATCCTCCAAAACAATGTTTCCCCAGTGTCTGAGAGCTAAAGAAACAAGCAATTTTGAAATGTAAAAGGATACAGAATATTGACAAGGAACCAAATAAAGGTTAAAGTTTGCTCACAGTAAGTGTCCTGTTAATGTGTTGTTGAGGTAAAAGTGTTTATTCTCCATCGCACTAAAGTGTCTCCAGAAATCCCGGAAGGACAGCTCATGACGCCCGCCTCTGCCAGTCTCTGCCAGTCTCTGCCATCTGCTGCTCAGTGATATCTTTCAGCCATGTAACATTTCAGTCTCTCTGCCAACTCTTCCCGATATAGGGTGGGAGGACGTCAGCCTTGTGGGCAGCTCCAGAAGCCATTCAGTACCACAGATACAGCTCGGCCAGTGACGTGTGGAGCTTTGGCATAGTCATGTGGGAGATGATGTCCTACGGAGAGCGGCCGTACTGGGACATGTCCAACCAAGATGTGAGTTGATAGGGGTGCGGTGGAGGGGGGGAGTGGAAGCGCTTCAGATGGCACTGAGCATCCAGCAAAGTGGGGAGATTGTAACCTCAGCCACAGAGAAAGCACAGTGAGACACTGGGAGTTGTTCTTGTTAACACAGAGGCTCAGTTAGGATCCAGAATAGCTTTTAAAAAGGGATTTACAACAACCTGCATTCATCCAGCGCCTCTCATGTCGGGAGCAGGACATGCCACAGCTGACTGGAAGCCTGAGCTTGGGAGGGAGAGGTGGTTGGAAAGGTGGCTGAGAGCCCAGGTGAAAAGATAGATCTTAAGACCGTAGAACTGTAGATACTTACAGCCCAGAAGAAGGCCATTTGGGCCCATCGTATCTGTGCGGGCTCTTTTTAAAGAACAGTGTTTAAATTCAGTCCCATTAACCTGCCTTTTTCCCTGTACCCCTGTAGACATCTATCTTTTTAAAAAAAGTATAATAAAACGTTCTAAAAGAAATATTGGAAATATATTGAAGACAAGTATTGGAAAACGGAAACGTTAAGTTGGCACCGGGTGAACACAGAACAATTGACGTTGATATGGCACCTTTCGCATCGAGTTGCAGTCTTAAAGCCCTTTACAGTAGTGGTTGGGCTGGGGATGGGGCTGGGAGTCGGGGGCTTGGGGAGGGGAAGGATGATGGAAAGACAAAAGTAAATGACGAGGAGTAGAACTAAAGAAATCTCTTTTATAGAGAGCTGGTACAATGGTTCAATGGGTTCCTCCTGTGCTGAATGGTTCTCTGATTATATGTTTACGTTGGCTTTAATTAACGCAGCAACAAGTGGCGTTTAAGCTATCACACCAAACTTGTAACACAATGAGTCACCACTAGGTTGTAGTGTCCTGAGATTCCACACCCAACCCCCTTCTGGGGATGAGCTGGAATTTTGCTGCTCGCTTAAAGATTCAGGCCAGAAAACAAGTCCAAATACAAACCTACATCGCTCTCTAAGGGCAAAGAACAAAACTCCAGTGTTAGAGGAATGAGCTGCGAGCAATGATTAGACAAGCCAGAACTCTTCAGTCGTGAGCAAAGACATCTCAGAGGGGATCTCATGGAGGTGTATAACATTTTTAATGGGATTGAAAAAAGCAAACCCACAACGGTACTTTAGTTTGTGCCATAACAGTAGAGCAAGAGTACAAAGGTTCAGGATAGCAAAGCGCAATTTCACCAGCAAGTTTCTCTTTACCCTGGAGGGCAATCAACGACTGGAACAGGTTGCCAGGAATGGTGGTTGAGGCCAGAACACTGGGTCTCATTTATGTTATGTTCTTATGTTCTTATAAAGCAGCTTGATGCTGTGATGGGAGGTCAGATGGGTATTCTGGAGGCATGAAATCAGATGGCCAAGGGGTCTTCTTCTGATCTACTACTTCAACACTTGGAAACCAAGATGGCGGCAGGTCAATTTGAAAATGGGAGGTTTCCGGGGGTGCGGGGGAGGAAGAGGAGGAATGGACAGTCATCATATAACAGCGTCTGCTGTATCAAGCGCAGAATATTGGTTCACACTGAACACCATTAATTGTGGCAGTAGTACACCAACACCAACATAAAGTAAGGAACGCTTAAGGAATACCGCAAACGTTAGTGCGGTGATACTAGGAGCCGAGTTACTTTTGATTGTGGCGCAATTGGATTCATCTGTATAATTGGGCGTCCTTGTCGTCGTGTATCCAGATGTAAAATCTTGCACAGAGGGGAGAGTTTATTGGGTGGCACTGATCACTGCGGCTCTGTTAATCGATCACGGGGCATTAGGGTCGCTTGCTCTCACTGTGAGTTGGTAATTCCCTCACTGCCCTTGCTTTGTGCAGGTGATTAAGGCTGTCGAGGAGGGCTTCCGTCTCTCGGCCCCGATGAACTGCCCGTCCCGGCTCCACCAGCTGATGCTCGAATGCTGGCAGAAGGAACGCACCGACAGGCCAAAATTTGCTCAGATCCTCAGTATCCTCAACAAGATGGGCCGCAACCCGGAGAACCTGAAATCTACCCCCAGCACCAGCATCAGGTAGCAGGAGACGCAGGGCCTCCAGACTTTGCTTACCGTGCGCGGTACACTGCACGACAACGACAATTTACAACAGACCCTTTTACATCCCAAAATGTCTAAGAGCACATTGGGGTGGCAGAGCCAGGCCCAAACAGGGTAGCCGGGGAGAAGATGGAGTGGTGAGAGGGGGCTGCAGTAGGATGGAGGAGTCCTAGATGGACAAGCAGAGGGAATCTTGTCTGACAGTATTCGCAATACATTATAGTTTTGTTTCCCCCACAAAATACACAGTCACTACACTTTACAGTATATTCTGTGAAGGGTTTTGAGACGTCTCAAAGGCGTGATAAGACTATATCAAATGCAAGAATTATTATTATTATAGCACAGTTTACAGCACCTTTCATATCAGGAGGGCATCTTGATGTGCTCAACAAAGTTTAACGGACATCTGAGCTGGGGATCGGAGTCGAGGGTGGGGGTGGAGGGGGGGTTTGTTTTGAAATGCGTCTTGAACGAGGTAAGAGAGGCAGTGAGCTAAGCATTTTTAACTGGTTAAACTCCAGCAAATACCCCCAAACACATGGTCTGGGTTCCCCAAGACCTGGTTCTTGCCATCCTGTGCCTTACACTCCCCGGAATTAGGTAAGCAAAGTACGTCAGGGAGAGAGTGCGCACTCCATTCCATGTGTAGGTGAATCTCAGTTTGGCTTATATAATCTTAAGTATGGTGCACATGTCAGACACCTGGGTAACCCCCAAAACATAGGGGTAGGTTTTCAGATGGGTTTGCAAGCAGCGAGAGAGAGAGAGAGCCAAAGGAGTTTAGGGAGGGTTCCAGAGAATGTGAACAAAGTGACTGAAAGCTTAGTTGCTGATGTGGGGCTTGGGGGAGATATGAAACAGGCGTGAGTTGATGGGGTGAGGGGGAATGTTGGGGTAGCTGAGAGAGAGGGGGAAGTGGAATTTGTACCTCTGCTTATCGCAGAGGTGCAAACCGGTGAGAGTGGGAGGGTTAATGAGTTAATTCACTTTTATGGCATTAAATTTATTAGTGATAAAAGAAGCACAGCAGCCGGGCTGCAATTTTCACTGTTAAAGTCCCATTGCCTTTGCCTAATCATCATCCATCTGGCTCGCTTAATCGAGGCTAGCCGGATAATTTTATTATTACAATAATAATCCTTGCATTTTGACATAGCACCTCATCACGTCGTTGAGACGTCTCAAAGGGCTTCACAGAATGTATTGTAAAGTGAATTAACTGTGTATTTTTGATGGGTTTGTATGTTTCTGAGTTGTCATGTGTTAACTCACGTTCCACAAAGGTTTCTCTGGTCACATTGCATTGACTGGTGCCATCACTGGCAGAGCAAGCGGGCTCCTGCTGATTAGAGTGACGGAGAGTGTTTTTGCACAGAGCCATTGAGACTCTTTATTGAATAACATCCATTGGAATCGCTCACTGGTGGGTACAGTCAGTTGGAACCTTGAACAGTTGCCTTTGGGATGAGGGCTTGAATCCAGGCCAGGATGAAGGTCTCTTATCTGTTGTCTGTGAGACTGCTCTGTGAGAGGAATTTCAATATTCTCACCCTGTTACTTGGTGCAGATACAGAGAGTGCAACCACCGACAGGCGAGTTGCTAAAGGACGAGATGTGTGAGAAGTGAAAAGATTTATACTAACACAATTAGGGGACAGTCTCGAGCGAGCGAGTGAGCTGTGCTCTACATCTAACTCATGTTGTCGCTCAACTGGGAGTGTGAATGGACAGTGTAGAGGGAGGTAGCTTCTCTCTGTATCTAACCCTTGGTGTCGTTGCTTGCTCACACATCTGTGAGAGTTTAAAAGGCCCACAGCAAATGGAGGAAGAAGAGAAACCAGGAAGTGAACAGCAGCCTTTACAACATGGGGGAATTATGTAGCAACTCAAACAAAATACACTTTTCCCTTTCTAACAGTGGTGAAGTCCAGGACTCTGGGCTCAATTGAGCAACAGCTTGATGGTGTGAGGGTAAGGATGGTAAGGTGCGTGTTGTGGGTTGAGATCAAACGGGCCTGTAGGGCCTTCTTTATCCCAACAACAACAACAAATTACATTTGGATTGCGCCTTTCATGTCAAGAGGACGTCCCAAGGCGCTGGTCAGTCAGGGATCCGCACCCGAGCTGGTGGTTTAGGATCAGGAAGGGACCTCTCTTGTGATTTTACGCAAACCACAGTAATGTCTTTTGCTGTATCATCAGCAGGTCTCAGAACCTGCACATCCCTCTCCTGGACCAGAGCTTCCCGGCTTTCCCTTCCTTCGACTCGGTGGGCGAGTGGTTGGACGCCATCGACATGGGCAGATACAAGGACAACTTCACAGCCGCCGGCTACTGTTACCTGGAGTCTGTGGCCAGAATGACCGTGCAGTAAGTGTCTGTCAATCTGGGGAGGCAGAACATTAGGGGTTCCGAATCCCCTTTGGGTTCAGCGATTGCCAGATCCCCCCCCCCTCCCCCCCAGGTTACCCGCCTTAGCATCTCACCCTGCATTTGGAAGGTTCTCAGCTGCTCATCTGTCAGCTAAACGAGGGCCTCTGATTCTGAAGTTTGTGAATTCAAGCCCCACGTCAAGATTTTGAGCTCCCAATCTAGGCTGATGCTCCAGTGCAATACTGTGGGGAACTTTGCATTACTGGAAGTGTCGTCCCTTGGATGACTCCTTAAACGAAGGTCCCATTCTGCCTTTTCAGGTGGATTTAAAGATCCCATGGACACTATTAGAGAAGGGAGTTTTGCCTCGAGCCCTGACCAACAATCCCTCCAGATAAAATAGATCTTTCACCTCAAGGCTGTTTGTGGGATTTTGCTGTCAGCAAACTGCACGCTGCAGTTGCTTTAAAAAAGAATACCGGACAGTTGTTACGGCAAAATGCTTCGAGATGTTTCGAGGCTTATCGGCAATCCTGTTTTAAATAGTTTTTCTGCACTGGAAGAAATGGCGAGAGACATTTGTAATGTGTAACGTAGGAAAGAGTTAGAGGATCTCGGGGGTGATGTGAGCGTTTCCATCCTTGACAGATAATAGTAATAATAATAATAATCCTTGAATTTGACAAAATTTCTCAAATGAATTGACTGTACATCTTGTGGGCGAAATGTGGCAGCCAATTACACACAGCAGCGTCCCACAAACAGTCGTGGATTGATTGATCAAATTTTTTTGCGGAGTAGGGATTATTACCACCGCTTGTGCGATCTGCCAATGGACTAACAACCGGGTTCCTACTTGCAGCTCGGTAAATTGAGTTAAACAGATAACAGCTTGCATTTATATAACACCGCAGATGTAGTAGCGAGCCTGCCTTCCGCCCCATTCCACATCCCCTGACCGCCCCCTCCCCATCCCTCTCCATTCCACAACCTGTCCAGTTGCCATATCCATCTCCATCAAAACCGTCACCTCAGCAAGGACCGTTTAACCAAAAAGCTTTCCAGCTCCAAATCAGCCTCCGCTGAGCTCCACTCCTTTCAGTTCTGGTCATTTGTAAGAGATTTCAAGAAAGCCCCGTGGCAGGTAATTTAATGCATGAGATGCCGGTCGAAATAGGAATCTGTACAAACTGATCATGTCACGATGATCATTTTACTTAGTTTGCCTTTTGATCCAATCAACGGGTGAGCCTGCTCGTACCAGTGGTAATGGGAATGAATGCTAGAGAGCCGTCATCGCTAAATCCCGTTTGATTTCCTCCTGCAGGGACGTAATGAGTCTGGGGATTACATGTGTCGAACACCAGAAACAGATCCTGAGCAGCGTTCAGACTTTACGGGCGCAGGTTATACAGATGCACGGACGAGGGGTTCAGGTTTGACGCTGGCAGAACGCATTCTGTGAACTCGCAAAAGGCACGCTCGCACACACATACACACACACACAAGCACGCAAAAGTACACAAAAGAAAACGCCGAGGCAAGATGCTGTTGAAAGCAATCATTTACACAGTGGCGTCTGAGCACTGAGGACAGGGGAAGACTGACTGGATGAAACACATACACACACACACACACACGTGTACGATTGAGGAACAGACAGAGCATCTATGGAGCGAGCTGCTCAGAGGATTGGACACACAGCATTCGTGTGACGTGACTGAAGCAGGAAGACGATGAGATCAAAGTTATTCTTTCTTCTCTCCTCACCATCCCACTTCCTTTTCCTGTTGTGATTCAGTAACTGTGTCTCGCTTTGGCAACGGAGAACATTGCGGAGGACTCCTCTCCTCGACTGTGTGAGCTAAAGTCAGCAGCACTGACTCAAGCATTCCTCTCGGCTCTGCAGAGGTGTGGGATTTTATTGTTTGTAAGATTATCTGTGAGGGACGGGAGGAAATCTTCAGTTTTATAACTCGAGCGGTTTTCATGTAAAGTCTCGAGATGTACCCATGAGCCAGGAAGGAGGTTCAGACAGTACTATCCCCAGCTCCATCTTCTCATTTGTTCTCCATGAGGTCGGGGGACAAGGACCTGGGAATCCTCTCTGGGTTAGAGTGGAGGACGTTAAGCATTTGCCTGAACCTGGCGGTTTGCTGTCTGCTAGTTGGCCAGAGTGATTCCTGTTGCGCCACTTCACTGGGGAAATCAGAGGATTTAACTCGGCTTCAAAACAAATTGTCGTGGTGGGAAGTCGCCACGAAATTCCAAGTTCCTTCGACGGGAAATGGGCTATGGTTAGCCCAGGAACTAGTGTCGGAGCTCCCCAATAAGCCTCCCAGACGTCAGTGAAGGAGAAAGGCAAATGGAAGCTCACCCAACCAAGAGGGAACAAATCCATTGTCTTCAGGCGAGGAGGAGACTGGAGGAAATCAGTTCTGAGGATCATTTTTTCCCTTGTGACATTATACAGATCACTGGCAAGGTCAGTCATAGAGCGTTGTGAGCACTTTACCTCAACCAAGAACATAGAGGCATCGGACGGGGGTTCACAGAACAATAATGAAAACATTTTGAGGTTTTAAAGAGGAAAATTTAGGCAATCGGAGTTATTTTTTTCTGGACAAGAGACACAATGCAGCTATTTAGAGATGTGTACAGATGAGGTTGATTATTTAATTTAAACAGCAGTTTGTTTAACTTGAACTGGGACCATAGGGTTAGAGGACACAAATACAAAATTCACAAAGCCATGAGCTGGACTTATTTTTTCCCACTCGGATAAGTGGAACAGGCGCTACGAAGCCAAATCTGGGTCAATTGATACCTCTACAAGGGAGCTGGATCAGTAGATCTTGCAAAGGTTGAAACTGGCGACTTACTCACTCTCCCTTCCTTCCCACTTTCAAAGGTCACTTACCTCTTTGACCCACGTTTTTGGTCATCTTCCGCCCCCCCTCCCCCCCCCCCCGGGCCTGGCTTTCGAGTTTCGAAGCTGAGGCGTTCTCCCGACGTGAAACACACTGTACGGTGACATTTGTATTGTATAAAGGAGATTGAAGTATTATAGAGTGTAACTGTTTTGGGTTGCCACGTGGCTTAAGAAGAGAGCAGAGGATCCTTCGAGACAAAGGAGAGTGGTGGAGAGATTTGGTTAATCCACGGATTCTGGATGAACAAGTCTAATGGTCCAATCTGATTTCCAGTTTTCTCTTGCTTGCCGTTCACTTTCCATTGGGAAGAGAGGTTCTGCTTTTGTTCTCAAAATGACTCAAGGCCACCTGCTTAGCCTCAGTAAGTTCCCAGATGGCAGACAGCAACCTCTGTGGTATTCAAGATTCCTCCTGGCTTAACAGGGGCAAATGGATTAAACATGAGTGGCACATATGGGGAAGGGCACGGAGAGGGAGGGAGGGGAAGTTAGCAAACCAAGAGTGATTCTGCTGTTAACTGTGTCTGGTATTATAGACAATGTCTGTTAGAAGAAGCCAGCACTGATTACCTTCCTCACTTGCCAGTTGCCTCAGTTATTTACAGAGTGCAATAACTTACCATTGATTGTGATTGGTATGGTATAACTGTTTTTATTCCAGACAGACTCAACCGTTGAATTGTAGGCAGATTTTTCCCCCCCTGCTGTTCCCAAGCTGTTTCCTTTGGTTGTAAATACAAGAAGGTTTCGTGAAGGGCGTTTCGTAGAACAAGAAAAGCAAACTGTTTTCTTTGCGATTAAGTCATAGGGTCGAAATTTACTCAGTTGACGTACCATTTCACAACATCCAGAATGCGGCAAGATGTAGAAATCGGCTTTAACTTCGAAGTCTGGTTTCTGTAGCTCTTAAAAGAAACTTACACGGAAAACTGGCTTCAAAATGAACGGTTGCCAAATTCTGGCCACTGAAAAATGCTGTGTCAATAAAGTAAAACTAGACCCAGGTGGAATTTCATCCCCAAGTCATTGGAAATCCCTGATTTTTCTGTTGATTTGAAGAGGTTAGATACGACTCTAACTTGTCTTTTCTGAGTCGCATTCACACCTTCCAGCTCACTTTCTATGGGACCAAGTTTGCGGTGTTTCTTCATTAAGGAAACCAAACAGGGGGAAGTGGGTGGGTGGGGGTTGGACTCTTCACACACTCGGCTAAACGGCAATAGCATCACATCACACACCTCACTCCGACTCGAGGGAAGTCTGATCCGAGAATAAATCGACTCGGGGCAGGGTTCCCGGGAATCAACGGAATTCCGAATCGAAAAAATCCGTTAAGAAACGCTGTAAAGATTCCACCCCCACCCCCCACTTCGAGTTTAACACAGCACGTGCGACTGATAAGCTCAGGAGTTATATGACTGAAAGAAAGAAAATAGTGTGTTTTCTAGGGGGGAATTGTTTGTTAATTATGTGCTAAAAGAGGTCGAATTAAACCCTTTCGTTTTCTTTGAAAAACTGAACCAATTTGATTCGTACGAGATCAGGGGTTGCGCCCCACTTCTTTTGTAACTGCGTCACTCACGACGTGTGATGAACGAGGGAACTGAAACAGTAGAATTGGGGCCCAATTTACAGGATTGGGCCCACAAATTACCCAGTCGCTACACTTTACAGTATATCCCGTGAAGCGCTTTAAGACGACTCGAAGATGTGATAAGGCGCTTTATCAATGCAATGATTATTATTTTTTCTCGGGGGGGGGATTCCTTATTAAACAATCATGTTGGCAATTTTTCACCAGAGGAATGTGGAAGAGGGATTAGAAGATCTGCCGTAATCTGATGAAGGCTCACGGGACCTGTGGCCAGTATTCCCAATTCTACCAATTCTGCTCCCAATAGAAATTTCCGGTATGGGAAGGGGTGGATAGAGGCTCATGTGGGGAATAAATACCAACAAGGACCAAATGGCCCGTTTCCGAGCTGTGCAACCTTTGTAAATGTAAATAATTCGCGGATCAGGTTGGTTCAGTTTCACTTGTTTTTTTTTTGATATTCATTGCCTTTTACGTGGAGCGATTTGAGATATATTTAAAAATGCAATATATTTTTCTAATTTGTCGGGAGAGATGAAGTAACAATTCAATTGCAGTGGCGCACACTCAAAAATAATAGCCAGGGGAGGCTGACACACAGGGGCTTGCAAAGTGTGAAATGGAGATGTACTGGCCAACAAATACGCTGAGACATCAGTGATGCCTTCATCAGATAAATAGCAGGTGAGCGTTGGCAATACAAAATACAGACATTTGGGGAGAGAAATTTTACTGGGGTTGACTACATGTTGACTGCTTTACGTAGCATTTTTAGAGTGTGGCAAATTCTCAACAAGGTCTTAATTTTGAAGCCTGTTTCCTGTAAGTGTTCTTTTCAAGAATTGACAGATGTCCAGAAAATTCAGACGGAATTCAACAATTTGCCAAATTCTGGACCCTGTGAAATACAATCCAAATAATTATTATAATAATAATGCTGGCATTTGAGACAGTGACTTTCAAGTCGGGCGGGTGTGTAAAAGTGCTTCTACTGTAGAGTGACTGTGATTCTGTGTTTGTGGGCAAACAAATATAACGGCTGCCAGGTGTTGATGACAGCTATCTTCGGTCTCTATCTCTTGATGTTGCCAAGTGTCAGTGAACAGATGAAATCCGGGTCATCCTCTCAATTTTCCCTCGAAATGAATTCTTTAGTCAGTGATTTGAGCAGGCTTTCCGTTCCGTCCGTCAGACCATATGAACCACAGTGACCCCTCTCCTCCGCCACGCTCGCGCATACCACAGAGTTTAATGAATTGCGATATTAAAAATAAATGAGCTATCGAACAGGGCATCAAATGCAACACAAACTCTGCAATATTCGCGGCTAGCCTTGTCAGATTGAAATATTTCCCCTGACGAGCTGCTGTTTTTGTATCACTCGGAGTCTAATCCTGTGACCCGGTCTGACATATAATCCTCAACTATTCAACGTGGCTTGTCTGCCGAGTGATAAAACCGCTGTTGGGAAACGGCTTTGTTCCATCTTAAGCTTCTGCGTTTCTCAACAGGCTCTGATAGCAAAAGGATCAGTCAGCAGCCAGCATCCCCCCCCAGGAGGTACTGAGGATCAAATGCCTTGAGTCCTTCATTAAAACACCGTCTTAATTCCTTGGGAAGGTTATCGAATATAGAATCGGCGAATCTCACGGTACACAAGGAGGCCATTCGGCCCGTCGTGCCTGTGTCAGCTCTTTGAAAGAGCTATCCAATCCAAGCTATTCCACTGCCCCGGCCCTTTCCCCGTACCCCTGCGTATTTTCAAGTAAATATCCAATTCCCTTTTGAAAGTTATTATTGAATCTGCTTCCACCACCTTTTCAGGCAACGCATTCCATTCCATAACAAATCTCTGCGTAAAACAAAAAGGTTTCCTGGTCTCCCCACTGATTTTTTTGCCAATTATCTTGAATCTGTGTCCTCTGGTTACCGACCCACCTGCCTGGGATAAGATTAACGAACACAATACAGTTCTCAGCACAAGCACAGTTTCACAGTTATTGCTATTTTGGTCAGCCGACTGTCTTGACATGTGGGGAAACCCTTGCAGTGCTTAAGAGTATTTGGTGCAGGTTCCTGCTCCAATCGCCATACGGGACCCACTCCCCCCCACTCGCCGCCCCCCTCCCCCGGTGAAACCGACCCCATTTTGGTGTTAAGATTGTGTAGACCTGTACCAAGTTTCCTCGATTTGGTCACTCGGCCTTAAATTGGAACTGCACCAGTGGCGAGGTGTTGCCCCCAGGATGGAAAGGGAAGGAATAAGAAGTAGTTCCGGAAAAAAAAACTGACACAAAACAACGACGACGAATTACATTTATATAGAGCCTTTCACATTGAGAGGACATCCTTTTAGGCGCTGGCCAGTCAAGGATTTGGACCCAAGCTGGGGGTTGGGATCAGGAGGGGTGGGAGGGTGTGACCAAGGTTGTGTATTTTGTAAGCAAATGCGGCCAATTTGAACGCAGCAATGTTCTACAAACAGCCACGGAGTGAACGACCAATTTTATTTCAACATGTTGCACTTGCCCTGAGCTTGTATGATGTTGACAGTGTGTACCTGCTAACAGTGGAGAAATTGCCCACATCACAACTCTTACCCCGATCAATACAGAAAGCCATCCTCCGCACTGTTAACATGCAATGGTGTGAGTGATGTGATAGTATTGAGTAATCATGAAGCTCTGACAACGTAACTCTGGCATTTCCAGCGCCTTGGGATGTCCTCCTGACATGAACTGCGCTATAGAAATGTAATTTTGTATTGCATTGTTTCAGGATAGGGACAGGTAATTTTATCCGAGAGAGAATATGAGGCAAAATTGACTTATAATGCTGCTATTTGATATTATTTGATGTTATAGAACAGAGAGAGGAAATGTAATGCCTATGTAACAGCCACCTATTTAAGCCCACTTTCCCCAGCTTTCCCCCCCACCCCACCGCCCCCGAAAACTTTTATATTTTACCTTTTGAAATATTTGACTAATTCCATTTTTTTTTGGAAGCTGTTATGGATTCTGCTACAACCAGCATTTTTTGTACAAAAGGGTTTTATCCTTAATACAGATATCAACAGAATTCAGCGTGACTGGCGAGCGAGAGACGAGCACGGAAATTTCTTCAGATCAACTTTTTCTAGAAGCACATAAAAATCAGTTGAGGCTTGCGTTTGAGAACGAGTGTGCGAGTGTGAGAGAGAATGGGTGCGAATGGGTGATGCCTTTAGTTATAATGATAATGATACGTAATCCTTTGTGTTTGATATAGCACCTTTCACGTCCGGAGCTCGTCTCAAAGGGCTTCACAGGATTTTGTTGTTGTCTTACAACTGTAATGAGTAAGCAAAGAAAACATGGATGGGGACAGGAAAGGGCAGGTGATAATTTACAAATGCACAGGCACTACACTTTCCAGTAAAGCCCTGTGAAGCGCTTTAAAACGTACTACGTAAACAGAACAATACAATACAATTTACATTTATACACAGCTCCTTTTATATCAGGAGGATGTCAGCCCACAACAGTATGATAAGGCGTTGTATCAAATGCAAGGATGATTATTTTCATTATCATCATAATTGTTTTGTTTGTATGTTTAATAAGGAATTGTATTTATTGCTCAATCCTCACCTTAATTTATTGAACCAAATCTGTATTCTGCTGCCAACACTAATCGATTGACTGACGGGCGAAACAGAGTCAGTGCTTCAAAGCACAGTCCAGTTTGTGTTGGAATCTGGTGTTACTGAGTGCCGCTCTTACTGTAATCTTTCTGAATTATATATTTTTAATTTAGTTTCAATGAGTGTATAGACGACATCTCTGACTACTATGTATGTATTTCACTATCACATTTAGGTTCTCGTGATGGTTACAAATGGCTCAACAGTGTTTCCGCACAACAAAAAGGGAACTTATTTTGACATTTATTTTGTATTTATTAATTGTGCGTCAAAGCTGGAAATTGCTTTGAGTATTCAATAAAGCAAAAAAAAAACAGAAGCTAATCAAGTATTCATTGCATTTGTTTCTATCTATTAGACTTTTTGTCAGAAATTACCTGAAGGTGCTTATTAATATTTATCAAGCAATTATCGCACTCTTGACATGAAAGGGCCAAGTACTGTGGTTGAGTTGCATGTGGTAATTATTCATCAATCGCTGTTTGGGCCACAACTCCAGAGCCTCCTGAACTCAAGGAAAGCATCATCAACAAGCGGATGGGATCATTCTGCAACTCGTAAAAAGGTTTGACTTCAAGGTCCTCGCTCTCACTTATAAATCCCGTCACGCCCTGGCACTCCTCTCTCTCTCTGACCTTCTCTTACACTCTTGCTGCTCGGCCTCGCCGAGCCTTCGACTGCGATAATATCCCGCTTCGCGGCTGCTTTTGGGACGTCACTGTGCGAAAATTTTGGCTGTCGCATTCACGCACAAAGTAGTTATGAAAGAATTTGAGACGTCTCAAAGTTAAGGCGCTTTGAGACGTCTCGATGTCGTGATAAGGCGCTATATCAAATGCAAGGATTATTATTATTATTAGTCACTACAACATAAACAACAACTTGCATTTATATAGCGCCCCACACACAGGTTAGCATCCTAGAGCACTTGACTCTCAGACTCTACCATACCTTACAGTAACATCCTACGAAGCACTTTGAGACATTTTCCCAACATGAAAAACGCTACGGGAAACGCATGGGTTATTCTTCCGATTCTGATGCACGTTCAGGTCTCGGTTAAAGAGGAATTAATTCTAGAATCACATCATTTAATGAGTCCCGTCTGGATGACACAGAGTGTCACGTGAAAAACGCTACATCAAATGCAGCGAATATTGTGATCTGTAAATAAATAGGATGGTCAGCGCTTTGAGTTCTTGTAAGATTTGGTAGCCTCAAGTTACTCAAATGTACTCCAGGTCTCAACAAAGACATGGGATCTGAGTGAAAGGTGTGGTTTGGCCTAACGCTGACACTTGGGTGGTTGGGATGGAAATGTTGCCCAACACCTAAAGCTGCTGTGTTTCCCCTTAGAGCAATGGGAAAGCTGCAGGGCAGCTATTTTGGAAATGTCAGGAAGGATGGTTGAGGCCACGGCACTGAGACTCAATTAAAAAGCAGCTTGATATTGTGATGGGGGGACGGTGTGGTGGAGGGTTCTTGGAGAGATGAGATCAGAAGGGCCTTTTTCATCCCAACCGACCTTGCCGTATCCCATCACACACACCGCATCATTACTGACAGGCAATGCATAGACCCAATTCAGTAACAGTTGATAATAAGAGCATCATGTTATATCTGATCTGTGACTTAAGTTATAAGCTTTTAAGTGCTTAAGCCATACACGATAAAAGCTTAACGTTATTCCTTACTTTCCCCCACAAAATGCATAGTCAGCCCACTTCACAGTGAATCCAGTGAGACTGAGACATCCACCCAACGTGAAAGGCACTGTTTGCTGTTCATCATATACAAGGATTACTATTATTTTTATGTTAAATGCTTTAAGTTATATACAATAAGAACTCGTGTTTAAATTATGTATAGGACATACTCTGTTATGTATAACAGGGGGAGTCTTGTTTTATTGTTATATATATATGATTAGTGTTTTGAGTTATATATGAGTCCCCTGGAATATAGTTTAGCATCGTTAAATGTTAGGCAGTTCCACAGCACAATAGATTGAATTCTTTATGTTGAATTACGACTGTTATTCATATCAGTGCAGCGGCATAATGAAGAGAGTGTCAAAGCTGTAACATGCCCAGCGTTACACAATAAGCATTCATGAAAAGTCATCTTTTCCTTAACACAGTGTGTCTTGATGTCCACGTGACATAGGGACAGAACTCCAGTGCCTTGCACCGTGGTGGAGAGGAGAGCGGGACCGTCTGGGAAGCGTGACAGTAAGTGAGGAGAGAACGGGAGCCTGTGCGAAGCGGGCATGTGAAGTGAGGTGGAGGGTAAGGCAGAATGAAGTAGAAAGAAATGTAGAGAGTGGCAGACTGAGGTAGACAGAGAAGTAGAAAGAGGCAGAGAGATAGAGAGTGAGGTAGAGAGAGTGAGATGGCGAGAGAGTAGAGTGGTTGGGCCTGAAATAGAGAGAAAGAGGTAGGGAGTGAGATAGAATAGAGCAGTAGAGCGAGATAGAAAGTGAGGTAGAGAATGAGATAAAGACTGGCGGGGAGTGCGATAGAGTGAGGTAGAGAGAGTGTGTGTGAGAGAGAGAGAGACATCAAGAGAGATGAGGAACACTCGAGCTGAAGGCTAGGGTCCCTCTCAGCCCAGCTGATGGACCCAAACCCTTGTTCAGCAACTCGTTGCTGGGAATAAAGGACAGGGATGATCATTTAAACAATACAAAATTTATTCATATTAACGTTTCGTAACACATGAGAATCCAAGCAGACATTGCTTCCCTTCGCAGTATGAGTGGATTCTTATTGCAGATTCAGTGGGAGCCGAATGCCGTGCGCATTGATTAGGTCCAGCTTTATATATGTATACAGTATATAATTCTCGTGACGTCCTCACACACAGGTGGGGGCGACCACCGGCTTGGGCCGAGAGCGACTGTGAGATGGACAAACAAAGTGCCCCCCCAAGAGAATCACTCACTCGGTTTTGCAGTCGGTTTCCCCGTACTTGACGGCGCTGGCGCAGGGGAGGCAGCTGACTCTGTGGTCTCCGCTGTAGGAGCCCGGGCTGCAGACCACACAGCAGCCAGAACACTCCATGTGCTTCCGCCGGTCTTTCCCGTAGCCCGGATTGCAGCGGTCGATCCTGATCACCTGCAGCGTGCCATCAATGTAGTAGATGAGGGGCAGGCTGCCGTTGATCTGGTGGAGGATGTCCGCTTGCTTACCGAAGAATTCCTGCATGCGGTGCCTCGCCTTCTCCAGCCTGAGGTTGTGGTTGCAGTCGGCCGAGTTCTGCTTGCAGATCCTTTCCAGCTGTTCCTCCTTCAGGTGGACTTTGAACGTGAGGAACAACTCGTACTGAATACCGGCCAGGGGCACCTTCAGCATATGGCAGTCCGATTTGTATATGCTGATCACGTAGGCCAGGCCCGAGACCAGCTGGTTCAAGGCCGTGTGCAGCTTGTCCAGGAAGAGGTTGTTGTTGGCGCTTAGGCAGTTGGCCACGTGATACTGCGCCTGAAACTCATACGTGTAGTTGGGTTGTTGGTAGGCGTACAGTAGATACTTGAGAGTCAATGACTGCAATGCCTTTGTCTCCGACGTGTAGAAAAACATAATGCAAGTGTACTCGCCCGAGTATTCTTTCTGAAACCTCTCGATGGACAGAGTGCCCGTCAACGACACCCTCGTGTCATCATTCTGAGCGAGGTCCCTCCCATTGGGGCCTTGCCAGGAGAACTCGGGGTCCATCAGTTCCGTGTTCCTGAGCTTCGCGGTGGCGCACAGGATGTGCGGGCTGTTCTCGTTCACCCTGATGTAGATCCTTACCGTGCCGTCTTCTGAGCCGAGGACCTTGCCATGCATGGCGAGAGAGTTCTGGAGCATCCGGTTGACCTGCCACCACACCTCACCGGTCGCGGCAGCTTTCTCCGAGGCGAAGTTCAGGAACGCTCCGCACACGATCAGGCATTTGATGCCGGCGATCGGCAGTGATGTACCCATCTGCGTCCTCGTTCATCCTTGTCTTCATTTGGCTTCCGCGGCCCTTTGTGACGGCCACTTCACCAGCCATTGTCTGACATCAGCTCATTCCGTCCATCACAATCGGCTCAGTTGCCAAGTCGTAGCCTCGCCAGCGTTCGAAACGGTCCTTCTTTGGTGAGATCTTTTTCTGTCCGCGTCTTTTGCGGGCCACGCCGGCGGTAATATCACTCCGTCGCACTGCTTAGCATTCCCGGTGTTCGGCTGTATCCCCCGCAATGATTGTGAAAATACAACCTCTCTTGTCAAAGGTAAGAGTGTTATTGGCACACGATTGAGGAGAAATTTCTCGCCATCTCTATAGGCTCTACCGTTGGCGGGTGAGCTTTCAGCCATTGTGGCCTCAATCTCTAGAACTCCCCCATCCCAGAATCTCCTCCCTCCGTCTTTCAAGTGATGTCTTGAAACATCCCTCTTTCCCTTTCCCGTGGCTCCAAATTAAGACTGGATTGAGGAATTGTCCCAAATTCTGCGTGATTTTAAAGTGCTTTCACGCGTTAAAAGCGAAAATTAACGGCACAGCAGAAGGCCATTTGGCCCATCGTGTCTGTGCTGTCTCTCTTAAGGAGCTATCCTTACACTCCCATTTACTTGCCTCCTTCCCATACCCCTGCCGCTTGCTCCTTTTTTAGTTATATAAATGGAATTCCAGGTCCTCTTATTTCCCCCGTTACATCATTTTCCAGCAATAATTGTCCAATTCCCTGTGTTGAGTATTTGCTGTTGGCAATGGGTGTGTGACATCTGAAATGGGGAACCTTCATCCGGTTGCTCTGTTCAGATCGCAGCGCTCTTGCTGAGGTGGTTATCAGTAGCCTGATATCATTTATCTTTTGAATCCCCAGCTATATTAGCATCGGATAGATTCAAGCACGTTTGCAAGCAATTTAAGACAGCATCGCACACTCCAGCGGAGAAACTCTCACTTTGCTATTCTGTGGGAGTGAGCGACGTTTTCATTGCCCAGTCAAGTGGCAAATGGAAGCTGTTCGATGCCGTGGAGCGAAATGCGATTTTTATTTCTATTTTTTTTGGGGGGGGGGGTGGGGAATAGATCGTTACATCTCATTTTGCTCCATCTGCCTGGTGCTGACTTGCCCGCTTGGAAATGTGGGCAGCAGCCCTGGATTTAGCTAAACAGCCTGAGCCTCATCAATGCTCTCCACCTTTCTGAGAAAGAATCCTAGCTGTTGGGTACGTCGCTGACAAAGGGAGGATTCTGCTCGTGGGACTTACTTGCATCATCTGAGTCGAACGGTACTTTTTAACAAATTTGCGTGAAACCCACAAAGATCGCGAAGATCACCTAAATGTATTCAACCCAACAGACCAGATATCTCCCTGGAACCTCTTCACTCGGAATCTGAAAGAACTGTTAAAACAACGACGACGACAACTTGCATTTGCACAGCCCCCTTCACGTGGGATAGTGTTTTGGCTGCTTAACAGCGGCAGAGTTTGACGTCGAGATGGGGGGGAGGGAGGGAGGAGGTGACCGTAAGCATCTGAGTCATATGGTTATGGGTTGAGGTGCCATAATAGCTCATAGTCCAGGCTGATATGCTGCAGCGTGTATGTTTGTGGGGGGTCGTTGCATCATCGGAGGATCTGTCCTCAGGTAAGACATTAAACCGAGGTCCTGATTTCTGTTCAAATGAATGTTAAAGATCCGATTTGAAAGGGGAAGGGATTTGTTTCCAGTGACCTGGCCGACAGTCCCACAGATAAGATTGATCTGTTTGTTTTCGGGACGTTGTGTGCTCAAGTCGGCTGCAGTGTTTGCCTGCAAACGCACAGTCATTCCACTTTACAGTAATTCTTGTCATCTGAACATTACTATTTGGAGACAAGTTGATATTATAGTCACTCTATCAAACCCAAGGAGACTAATAAGAAGAATCATTGCATTTGGTAGAGCACCTTTCACTTCGGGAGAATGTCTCAGAGTGCTTAACTGTAAAGTGCGGTGTGTATTTTGGAGATAAACACAGCAGGCAATTTCTACATAGCAAAGTCCCACTAACAGACATGAATTGAATGACTGATACTATCTGGGGGTATTCCTATTAATCAAAGATCATTGAAGTTACTTCTTGGCAAGTGAGCTGTGAGCCACGCACTGTTTTGCCCAAGGCATTCCGTAGATGGTGCTGAAGAATCATAAAACACTGTTCCCTCCTGAATGACTGGTTGGATAATGCAGTGACCGTGGTGCAGATCCTGAGCCGCATGCAAAGTGGAGAATTGCGCATTACCAGTTATTATACCCGTTGGGTTTAACCTGCGCTTGAATTTCACCTCAACAACAGGCCATCATCCCTACCTGTATTGTCCAGGTTGATGGCCTGAATAATAAGGAGGCGTGAAACATTGACCAACTTTGTTTCTGGGTAAGTGAGCTAAAAACTGGCTGACCTGCTTAACCTGAGCCATTCAGCAGCTGAGAACTTATTACCTTTCGTCCCAAGACAATTGGTTCATGGAGACGTAAGGTCTACTTTTGTAGGAATGCATGCGCCTTCCACTCTAATATCCATAGTCTCACAGCTGTTCAGAGAGTCGTAGTCTCCTCCTTCCTCCCCCATTCCAGTCAGCATTTGTGACTTGATGTAATTCTGAACATGATCACCCATTCCGGTCCGTGTTCAGCTCATTAACTAAGATCTCTCTGGACAGACGTGGAGCCTGACATTGTGGTCTGTCAACTTATTGAGACTGGGGGGGAAACCAAGGATGCTGATGCTGTGGGCAGACATTATTAATACCATTATGTGATGAGCTTGATTGAGAGTGGAAGATGCAGATCCCTTTCAGTGTCACAGGCTGTAATGTGTTGCTCTGGGGGCCATTTTAATACCATTTTTACAATAACAGGCAGAGCCACAATTTTCACAAAATGCCATTTAACAGGCAATCACACCATTGCGATTCCAATTATTTTCAGAGATTGAGTTTATTAAGCACCCTTATTGTCTGCAGTGGTGAAAGTGCAGAACGTCAATTCATTTGCGCAGTGCGTCAGTCTTGCCGCCGAGACAGAAGTTTGTGGGTTCCAGTTCCAACTCGGGACTTTGACCTCAAAGTCTTGGCTGCCATTCCACTGTCGTGCTGGGGAGTGTGCTGCATTTTTGGAGTTGCTGTCCTTCAGATGTGAAGCACTTTGAGAAGTCCTCCCCACGTGAAAGGTGCTACATCAGAGTCTGTGCTGACACTCTAATGTAGTATCAATAATACTCGCATTTCACAGAATATACTGTAAAGTGTATTGACTGTGTACTTTGTGGGCGAAAGTACCTGGGGGAGCACTGCATGTGTCATCCATCGGGTGAGATGTGAAACCGAGATCCCGTCTGTGCCTGTTTAGGTGAACATCAAAGATCCTGTGGCGACATTCGAAAAGAGAAGGGAAATACACAGTCACTACACAACAAAGTAAAATCGTGTCAAATGCCTTCATGATGCAAAAGGTGCCACAACAAATTCAATGATTATTATTGTTGTTATTTTACGGAGGCAATCATTCAGAATTTATATTTCATTGCAACGGGGGGTGCAGTGGGAAGGGTAACAGTGGGATGGAGGAGAAGCAGTGGGAGGGGTAATGGGAGGGGGGGATGGTGGAGGAGTTGGAGGTGAGCGCAGAGGAGATGGTTAGCTATGGAAAATAATATAGTTAATACAATATGAATCCAGCAAAGTTCTGCCTTATTGGATACTTGTTTTGTGGAGTCCTGTAGCTCAGTGGTTAGAGCACTCGCTTTGCAAGTGAGAGACCTGAGTTCAATTCCAGGCAGAGGGCGAAACCTTGGGCAAGTTTCCTTACTCCACACAGAGCCTAATAATAATCCCTCCAAAACCAAAAACAATAATAAAAATTGGTCATTTTCAATCCATGACTGTTTGTGGGACATTGCTGTGCGCAATTGGCTGCCGTGTTCGCCCACAAATATACAGTCAATTCACTTTACAGTGTGTTCTGTGAAGTGCTTTGGGACGTCCTCCCGACGTGAAAAGCGCTATGTCAAATGCAAGGATTATTATTATTATTATTGTTTTGGATTATGATTTAGGATCCAGGGCAGCGCCAAGTGGAACCTTGATAAGTATGTCTGTTTTGGCAGGTTGTGAATTTGATAACCTGGGGCTGGGGTGGGAGCTGGAGACTGGTTCCAATTGAATGAGCAGAGGTTTAACAAATATGAGCATTGTTTCTGGATTACTGCAATAATCCCTCTATCCACACAACTCTGTTATGGTGTTTAACATTGAGAAACTCATTAATATTTCCAATCCCTTTGAGACGTCTTCTATTTATCCCAGCCACTGATGGCCCAGACCATGTCCAAGTGGATGCTGATGTCTATGGCAGGAGCCTGCAGGCTGTAGAAAGCGGCCACACATCTGTGTTCCAAGTGGGTATTAGCACACAAGGGTTCTCCTGGTAATCATATTCTCTCAATGTGAAAAATGAATCAAACGTTGATTTGCTGGAGTCCGTCAGCTCCTGTGATTGACTCTTATGCTCCCAACTGTGATGGTGGGAACGCAAATCCCAAGAATCCCAACCATTGGAACCTATTTTCTTCACTTGAGTAAGTTTGCACGAGTCCTTGGCTTTGTCATTCCGACTCCAATGCAGTAGGAGTTGGCTTTGTCCACCGTACTTTGCCTTAAATCTCAATTTATTGCTCCAGACTACCCAGAGACTCAGTTGCTAATGGCCAGTTTCAGAAAAGCGCTCTGGGACGCTAGCCGGCATGAGGGGGTGCTACTTAAATGCGAGTTGTTGTTGGACCAGAGTCCGATCCTTTGTAAAGAGCGAGGGAAAGCTCATGGATCAGCCTGGCTCAATCAGTCGCACTCCTACCGCCAGTTCAGATGGTCCAAGCTCCATGTCTGAACTCATTGCAGTGTGGTGACTGCATATCTGCATTTGCTGTGCACATAACTGGCTGTCACAT